TGGTGCATTTCTATCAGGATTTCTTTCTCTTTATTAATTCTTAAGCAGAGTTTTTTCTTTAAGAAAGAAGCATGAGAACGAATTTTTGGAATCATGTCACAAGCGGGAAGATGATGGAATTCTGGACAGCAGTATGGTACTGGCAGTGGGCATATCGTCAAGAAATTATTAAACTGAAGTACTTGTGGCGGAGCTCTTTGGTACCATTTGAAATTCTCCCACTTTTAATTCCAAAAGTCTTCGATAAATCAAATTTTTATGCAATTCAAAACAAATTATGTAAATTGTTTAAATAAGATGGGATTAATACCTCCTAAACTCCTTCCGTATTCACTTTCTATGAAAGGTGGAAGCAACTAAGCGGTAAGTTTAAAGTAGTGTAAATTGTGTAGTACATTTATTTGCGATGCGATTTACGGTAATTGTAATGTTGAAAAAAACCTGGATTGTTCCTAAGTTGTAGATATTTTACAAAAAAAAAGAAAAATTAAAATGCACTTTAAAAAATTGGTACGCACATATACATATAGCAACTGGACAATTAGATAGTCTCGAGCAAGAGGGCTTGGAAAATCTGATCAATCCATCGTGTACCCATAGTTCCAAAAATACCCAGTAACATCAGAAGATCGATCCATCGTGTATCAGTAGTTCCAAAAATTTTAAACAAGGGAATTATGCGAACCGGCACCGTGGCTACGACGACTTGATGATGACGATCGATGATATAGATTTCGAAGACACAGGAACTGAAATAGAAAATATCCAAGAAATATAAAACTGTTTGCCGCTCCACCCATAACCTCTTCGATGTGCGTGCATTACCTTTGCAGGGACTGTTCGAGTGGTCGCTTACTTTCTGAGAAGTACTATTTACTGTTGCGCGACATCTACGATCTTCGCCATGTTAGCCATATTTTCAGGTTGGTTTTAATTAATTCTGAAAGAAATAAGTAGCGATGCGCATACGGATTGTGAACGCAAAATACCTTAGTAGAGACATCATCAGAATTTCTGCTGTGATGGCTGTTTGATGATTCTGCTGTTCCGACCGAAGCGTAAGTCATTTTTGATTTTCGTTTTCGATCTTTAACAGGCTTGCGTCGAAGTGGACAGCAAAATCGCAATAGTGCTTTAGCAATTCGTCGACAGCAACGTCGCAACTAAAGCATTGTAACATTATTTAGAAATAAGACAGCACTAGCAGCTTCCTCCGAACCCTTTTTTTGGGAGGGACTGGAGCTGCTGAGCTTTTGGCGTCAAGAAGGCCAGGCTTCACCGTAGGCAGATACAGGGGGAGGTGATGGGTCTTTCGCCCTTCTCCAACGACACAGGCACTGGTGCTACAAAAACTTGGTTCTAAAGCTAAAACTGAAGAAAACTCTCTTCCGCACACCCATCCCCACCTCCTCCTCCCTCAGGAGGCCACCTGGATACGCCTGTGGGCTTCACAGCAATTCGCAATTTCTCGCAATAATTTCATAGCACAGTGAGGAGAAGGCACTGAAGAAGTTTGCAAGTGTTACAGCCAGCTTAAATGAAAGTGACGTTTTCAAAAGCAAGTTATGAATTTATGAAATTGTAGGATTTTTATGAATCAAAAATGACTTCGAACTGTACAAATCATAAAAGTAGTTAATAAAGACAATTTTTGATGTCGCTGTTTTGAGAAGTCACTTTTTTGCTTTTTTCCCCTTTTTCCTCCTTTTCAATTGGCTATACTTATTCTGATCGACTAGTTTTTTCTATGAAAGTTAGACTTTTTTTCTTCTCAGCAATTCCTGGATTAAAATAGCCGGTGATTTTTTCTTTTTTTTTTTTTTGCGAATTTAAGTTCCAAGATACTTGGATTGTGCATAGTTCCTTTATTATTAAGATGCGTCCACGCATCAAGTGTCATGCATAAATTTTTTATTCACATAATTACCATCTCTTCGGGTCACTTTTCGAAGTACCATTTTCTAGTGCACGCATCACTGATTGCTGACAGGTTGAGTAAATTAAGGGTAAAATAAAAACATGCTGGAAGCGCCCATAATGGAACGAGAAGCAAACCTTGGCCCGCATTGTTGGTGTTCTCAGTGCTACCAAAATTGGATTGATCACTGGATCCAAGAACGCAACAATTCGAGCCAGTTGAAACCAACGTGCCAACTGAGCAGCTCCTTCACGATCCCGGGTCCAAAATACGGCAATTTCAACGAAAGTTTGTCCGGCAATTGAGAGGAAATATGCACAGAGAGAAAGCAGCAATGTGTTGAAAAGCATCTCACGACGCCGGCATGAGGTATTTTCGCTATAAAAAGAAATAATAAATGGCAATTTGCACCTCAGGAAGAGTGCAACCATGTGCTTTTGCTGTTGGTGTATAAAGCCGCTGACGCTTGCGCGGGTGGTGGGCTGCATCAGTCCACAAATGATCATTTGGCTCATTACA